CGCAATGGTCGGTCCTCGGACCCACGTTATTCTCCCTCTTCACAAACGACCTCCCAAAATCACTACGCTCTGCGGAAACTTATCTGTATGCAGACGACACAACAATATACTGTATAGCAGAAACGATGGATTTGCCAACAAACTCACTAAACAATGTTCTAGCTGAACTCCAGGAATGGTGCGACAGAAATTCGATGGTACTACACCCAGAAAAATGTAAAGCAATGGTCATGCAGCACAAATCAACTTTACTGGCCCTATCCAAGCTCTTTGTCTTGGCAACAACGTCATAAAGTGGACAACCTCAGAAAGACTCCTCGGAGTACAAGTTGATAACAAGATGTCCTGGTCAGATCATGCTGCAAATGTAGCGAAGTCCTTCGCATCCAAGTTAAGTCTATTCCGACGCATGTGATTCCTCCCTCAGAAGCAATTAGAAGATTTCTACACAAAAGTGATATTGCCATCAGTTACATACGGTCTGACAGTGTGGGGATCGTGCAACAAGACGTACCTAAACAACCTGGAGAAACTCCACGCAAGGGCTGGGCGAATTGTATATGGGTTGCCATGGGACCGTCTAGCGCTGAAGAGGTCTTAATGCGAACTGGATGGGACAGTCTGGAAACAATGTAAAGAGTTTGTCTTCAAGTGTTTAAAAGGTTACACCGTCACGGAATTTAAAGATTTGTTTTTACAGAGGAATTCAGGCCGCAGAAGAAATGAGAACATCATCCTTCCAAGGCCAGAACAAATTTTATCAGGAACTCCATACGCTTTAGAGGAGTAATTGCATGGAACACTTTAATGAACAAGGAAACAAGGGCCAAAACCTTGAAAGAATTTAAACGCTGTCTTGTAAAATTTGATACTGATAAAATGAATTTCGAACCAATTTTAGCTACAACTAAAAACAGAGATATCGGTTACGAATACTTTTAACAGTTTTAATTTTCAGTTGTACATTTTCACAACCTATTTTAGCTACAACTAAAACTGAAATATTGGTTACAAACATTTATAACAGTTTTTAATTTTGTAATCGTACATTTGCTTTCAGTACGCCTTATTTTTCTTGTAATTGTTGTATGCACGACCCCACCAGCAATGCTGATCTTTTTATCGTGCTAAAATAAAGTTCTTATCTTATCTTATCCTTTTCAAACTCATTTTAAAGACAGTTGCATGAATTTTTGTATTTCTTACCTGTTCAATGGCTGCAATCAAAGCTTCTGATATGCTAAAATGAGCATTTTCCTGTTGAAAAAGAGGTCACACAATCACTGACAAGTGACAAATTCCTTTTTACTACACTGCAACAACCGCACGAAACTGCAGCCCACTGCACAGTGTAGTTCATTCATCTGTGCTTAAAAGTGACAAAGCTGCACAATTAATTACCCCAAGAGCAGGGCTAGTTTCACTTCCCTCAGCACCGTTAACTGACTCTGCACTGAATGGCTCAATTCTACATGACGTTTGTCCTTCACACCAAATTGTGTAATAATTTATTTTTGGAAGTGGAAGAACTAGAAGAATTTGAATTTAATTGATTGAATAACAGTAGCATTTGATAACTAACCTTGTAACCTTGTGTAAATTGTTTGGAACCTTAGAAGTAGTATAGGAGGGACCGAATTAACCCCTTTTTTGGGGAGGATTGTCATTAAGGTGGGGAGGAATACATTAACGTCGCTGACGTCATAGGCTACTGTCTTGATCTCATGAATAAAATGCGCAGGAATCTCATTAACTTGCGGTGGAATCTCATTAAGTATATCCAGTTTGACGGGTTTATCAACGACGTCATGTGCTATTTTTAGACGGATGATGTCATGGTTGGTATAACCGGTTTGACAGGTTTTAGTTATTTTCGGAAGATGATGTCATATGTATTCCGGGGTACTATGATGTCACAGTTGTTTTGATTGGTTGACCGGAATTAGAAAGACGCTCATTGGCTGTCTCGTTTGACGAAGCATTCTAGTTGGTTGCCGTATTTTTATTGTTTGAACGGCATAAAAGCCTGCTCACTGCCTTCCCGCATACTAATTTGGATTTCCTGCATACTAATTAAGTGTCTTCCTCCATATATAACGAAGTGGATAGGTTTACTTAGCCAAGTCCAGAAAGGGTCATGAAAAGCTGTTTAAAATGTTTAAAATTAGAGGCCCCTGAGATAGCCGAAAAAAAAAGCGCTGCTTAGTCTGCCAAGTAACGCCCAGCTCGTCTCAAATTTGTAAAGAAGTACAAAAGCCTTAGTAGTAATGCTTCAGCAAAGATAAGCCCCGTTGGTGCGTTCCCTTTGCGTTCCGGGTACGTTCCCTTAATTAATAGGCATATGGGTCGAGTCTATGACGTCACTCATTGTTATAACCTAGGGAAAAAATGCGTTCCTTCATATTAATTAAGTGCCTAGTCAGTGCCTTCCCGAATATTAATTATGTGCCTAGTCAGTGTCTAGCTAGCTGGGTAAAAATGCGTTCCTCCATGTATGATGAAGTGGATAGGTTTACTAATAAGCGTCACTCTACTACAATAGGAACAATAGGCTTGCCTAGACTTGCCCGGGCTCTTTTAACCCTGATTAGATAGTAAACAATCTATTATGTGTTTAACATAAAAGCGCGCTTTCCCTTCAGTATTTTATTCTCGCAATCGCTTTGCTAAGGAAAAAGTCTTACTATCACCAATATTTTTTAAAACATTGCTCCAAACATGCAAGTCGAATCGAGCTGTAAACTTGTCTGACTATTACAGAACTGTTTTCTCCTTTCTATCTCGAGGAAATGAAAAACTATTGAAGTCCTGTCATTTTCACGCACGGTTAATCAGTTAATTATGCGAGTTCGCAAGCCCAAAGTTGAATACAAATTAGCTCTACAGGAAAGACCCAAGGGAGGGAATCTTGACGTATTATTATAAAACAAATAACTTAACAAGGATCAATTAAAACACGCGACTCATAATTGCTAGCAATAAAAACACAAGACAGATACCGTTCCAAAAAAACTTTATTAAAAAACAATGACAAAAAGAGTCAAATACACAGGAATGGACATTAATTAATCTTCATCTTCGCCCATGGAGTACTTGTAAGGTTTGAATTTCTTATGCCGACGTTTCTTCAGCTGTTTACCATGAGATTTATGATCATCCAAATAATTTAGAAATTGAATCCGACGCCTCTTGCGCTTCGGGCCTTGTTGTGATGGGGTTTCTACTGTGGGAGGAGGGGTCAGGAAAGCAGGATTTAAGGGTGGTGGAGGGGTGAGGCTTTCTTTGTCAGGTTTTTGAGAGATAGCCGCTTGTGTTAATTCAGGTGTTACATTAAAGGGGTTGAGGGGAGTCGAGAATGCTGTCGTTGCTGTCGAAGGATCTTGTGTCCTTGATGTTAAGTCTGGAACAGTGCTGATTATTCCTTCTGGTCGTGTTCTTGTATTTAATTGTTCATTAAAAGCCAGGTATCTGTTTGCAACTGAAGGTATCGTTTAGCTTTTTCATCGTCCCGAAGATCGTTTCGAGAAAGCACGTCATCCATGTTGCCTTGTATTTCTTGCATAGCTGGAAGAAGCGGGACAGGCGAAAGAGTTTGCTGCTTCAGATATTTTAGAAGGTCTTGAGGAATATTTTCTTGAAACCCTGCTTGGTTAAAGCCTTCTTCACTGGGCAGGACGTTTGTTCGCAACCGACAATTATCTTGGGTAGTAGTTTTCAGATCAATCAGGAGATAACCAAAAGGTCTTTTTACAGCCTCTTCGTACTGATTTAAAAAGAAATCCGTCTGCCCGGGATACATTTGCTTCGCTAGAGTCAAGATTTGCAATTTGTCTCGTGGATTCTTGAATAACACCAGATAATGGCTGTTTAGGCTTATGCTGCGACTACCTTTCCCCTGATGAAATAGATTCTGCACGATATAAATCACGCTCAGATTGCGATGATGAGAACCACGAGTAAAAAGGTTCACAATCCGCTTGTCTTTACTGGCGTCAATCATCTGATCATCAAACACGATCAGATTCTGTTTGTTCACATCAAAATAGTAATCCTGCTCCAAAGCCGTAGGAATTCCCTTAACGAAGTCAATGTGTGGCATGGCGACTAACATTTGTGTATACGCTGGCTGCCATTGTGAATAACACCAAACGATCCTCTCCGGGGGAGGGTAAATTGTCTCTGAAGCTTGTTGCAATAGCGATCGAACCCAGGCCGTTTTTCCGGACCCGGTCATTCCGGCAATCATGGAGGTGAAAGGGTGCTCGAAGCGAAACCGCTGACATTTCTGTGAAAACGGAACTGTTTGAAATGGTGTGAGACCAACATTGTGGTGTTTAGACATCACGTGCCTTTGCATATTATCTTTTCTACTAAATGATTTTTCGCAAACGGAACAGAACCAACTCATGTTAGCTCAGGAGCAAAATGTAGACTGAGAAAGAGTTAAAATGTTGCGCATTTATATAGGTTTTCAGGCCATAAAATTCTATTGTTTTCCTCCCCCAAAACCACCACCACCACCACCGCCTCATTTCTATTGTTTTTTTCCTCCTCCTCCTCCTCATTTCTATTGTTTTTTTCCTCCTCCTCCTCCTCCTCATTTCTCTTGTTTTTTCCTCCCCCTCCTCCTCATTTCTATTGTTTTTTCCTCCTCCTCCTCCTCATTCTATTGTTTTTCCTCCTCCTCCTCATTTCTATTGTTTTTTCCTCCTCCCCCTCATTTCTATTGTTTTCCCTCCTCCTACTCCTCCTCATTCTATTGTTTTCTATCCTTCGCCCACTCGTTTCATTTTTTTTCTCCACGAGATTCTATAAAAGACTGCCAACTGCCATCTTTAGTTCACTTTGAAGCAATGTCTCGTGTAGTGAACAACAATCGTGGTTTTCTTCAGCTGTTAGCTGATTGCCCTGCTCGTCAGCGACAGTTTCTTTTACGGACAGCCAGTCCACAACAACTACATGCATTAGTCCAAGTCTTATACAATATACTTAAGGAATACATTCTTATCCGCGAAGAAAATAAGCGGCACGTGTTGCCATATAAGGATGCTCTAGTAAACCTAGCAGAAACAAATGTCCCTTACAAAACAAAGAAGCGAATCCTTGTACAAGAGGGTGATGGTTTTATTCAAGACATATTGGTACCTGCTGTTACAAGTCTAGGATTTTTGATGCTACAAAAGAGGAAACGAAACTATAAGTTACTCATTTGAAGCTACGGTCTGTCACGGGTACTCATCAAAATGAAGAGAAAGATAGATTTGGTTGAAGAAGAACACGACAGTGAACATGAAGAAAGCGAAAGTTCTGGTGATGAAAGCGAGGATGAAGAACCAAGAATAAAAGATGTTTTGAGTCATCTTTCCCGAGCAGTGTCGGAAAAGCGTGCTTCTGATTTGCTGCATAGTATGGCCGCGTCGAAAGATATTCTTTTCTGCACTCCCAGCGGACAATTACTTCGAAATAAACGCACTATTCCCGTCACAAACATCGCCGAGCTAGTTGAGTATGTGTTACTCCCTCATAACAATGAGGTTACCAAGCCTCGTGCGCTGAATACGTTTCTAGATGGACTTGCAGAGTTAGGAATCGATAAA